GGGGTAAAAAAAAAAAAAAAAAGAAAAGAAAAAAAAGCATCACGTTTCCTTCTCGGTGAAATTCTCCAGCCAAGCTTGGCGCTAACCGAGTAGGCGATTTCACTTCATCACTTCACAAAAGACTTCCAAATTCACTGCGGCAGACACGGCAAAATAAAAATGTTAAATACATCCTGGCTGGGAGGGGGCTGAAGTCTCCAGGCTCAATCAAAGGTTTGCAGTAATAGGATTCATAAAAAAAAAAAAAGAAAGAAAAGAAAAGAAAAGACAGATGGGATTAGAAAATGTTGCAGCGAAGACTGGAATGAGATGAGATCACAGCACCAGCCTGTCTTTTGTGGACCTGCACAATGATACAATGATTCCCTGTGCCACACTGGATTAGGAAACCTCGCGACCAGGGGGGTTCAGAGAGAGACCTCCGGTTCCCAGGCACTTTGGGGGAGAGAAGGCTGAAACGATGCATCAGATTTACAGCTGCAGCGACGAAAATATAGAAGTTTTCACCACTGTGATTCCTTCCAAGGGTGAGTAAAATCGCCCTTGACTATTCGTTAACCGGGCACCTTCTGCGGGAGGGGGGGGGGGGGGGTGAGGACAATCACGTGCTGTTTTACTACCGTTTCCCCTCAGGTCTCTGAGCCCTGATGCTTCTCTGTTTTGATGCTATTTGTTGTTGTTGTTGTTGTTGTATCTGAAAAGGAGGCACGTGGATAAATCTCAGTCGTTGAGAAACAATCCATCAAGGAGGAAACGAAGGCAGTTAAATATTCCGTTTCACTTAATTCAGTACTGCAGCCCAAATCGCCGAAATGCAAGTGACAGCAAGCCATTGTTGGCGCAAACAGATGTGAAAACAAAATTCCCAGGGCAGTGAGATAGGTTCTTTCATCTTCTCCAGGGAGCAAGTGGGCTCTGAAACGAGAACCAGACGCCTCAAAAGTCTGGTTTCTAACTGTGCCATGAAATGTGAGGAGAAACACTCCCCGCGGTGGCCCAAAGTCCAATGAAGTGGTCGAATAATGAATGCCCTGACCCGGGCTGGCCTCTACCCAGACCTCAGGGCCACGCTCCCAAAAGTAACCTGGACCTAGTGCCACTAAAAAGTGTGACTTTGTCAGTCCTTGTGTTCCGAGGTGAATGGTGTCAAGTCCCAAGAAGGGCTTAGGATAAGGGCTCAGATGACCGCAGGTGTCTGGTGACTGGACCGTCCCCTTGTCCCCTCCAAAGCTCGCCCTCTCTTCTGCCGCCTCTGTTTTCACCGTGCAGCCCCTGTGTTGCTGGGACCCGGCCTGTGGCTTAGCCCTGGTCTCATTGTCAGACTTGAATGAAGGGGGCTGGGTGTTTGCTGGTGTTGTGACCCCCTGTGCAAACAATTCCTTTCTTTTTCCAGTGTCAGCCACCGACAGGGCCATTGCACAGGGGGGAAGGGAGAGACTCAGCCTGGCCACAAAAAGACAGCGAGCAGAACATAAATTAAGCTTTAGACATCTATTGCCAGAGAGAGAGAAAGAAAAGAGCTAACAGTCTGCCCACGTGCAGGAGCTGGAACTCTCTCTGGGAACTCTGAAACGTACCCAGAAAGTCAAGGCTGAACCCCTGACCCAGAAGTCCCACTTCTGGGTAAATACCCTTCCATGTGGATGCTCATGGTGGCATTGATTCTGTGAGGGCAAAACTGAAGAGGACCTGAACGTCCTTGAAGAAGGAAAGGGGTAAAATGTGATGTCATCATACTATAGAACATTCCATAGGAATGGACAGGTACGTGTGTGGACAGAGATCTCAAAGCAGAATGTTGAGTGGAAAAAAAAAGCAGGCTGAAAATTATGTATGTATGATAACAATCATTAAATTTGGAAATACAAAATAATACTATTGATACATATCTAGAGAAAAGTATGAAAACATAGGTTGGAAAGATACAGATAAAATTAGTGATCTTGGTAGCCCTGAGGTGGGGTGGAGCAAGGGGGGGGAAGGGCAGTAGAATTAGGGGAGGGTAGAAAAGGGATCTAAACCGGCCCTCTCCTTTTTTATGTATTTTATATGAGAAGGAAACAAATTGGAAGCAACTATGAAAATGTTAAAATATGCTGATTTTCTGTCATCTCCACCACCACCCACCACCCACTCCCCTCAACCCCCCTTCCCCCGCTCCCCCTCCCACCCCCTTTAAAAAAAATTTTAGAGGAAAAAAACAGTTCTTTTCAATGGAAAATGTACAATGCAATTCAGGAGCAATGTCACACTTCACCGGGATAAAATTATTCAAAACAAACCCTTTGAGGCCATGTGCTTAGCATAGTGCTCCCCAGACTGCCACCACTTCTGCTCTGTGTGACCTTGGGCAGGCTACTTAACCAGTCTGGGCCTGAGTTTCCACTTTTGCAAAAGGGAGAACTAGAACTCACCTCCCAGGGTTATAATGAGGGAAAGTGAGGTATAGATAAAATATGGAAAGCTTCTAGAACAGTAGCTGGCATGTAATAAGCACCATGAAATACATCACTTACAAAGTGATTTCTGTTTTTATTCCATTTTAGGAGCAATGAATATGTTCAGTCAAAGACAAATATATAATCCTCTATTCCTTTCTTACCATTTTCATTCATGGCCACCTCCTGGTATTCATCAGTATTCATGGACATTTCACTGCTCAGAAAGTTGTTCTCTAGAAAAGGAGTATTTGCAGTTTATATGAAACCAGAAAAAGAAGAGGTCCACCTCTTCCTTCTTGGTTTGCCCCGTCTTGCTTTCTGCAAAGCCACCAAAGAGCTCTCAGTGAGAGAAGGTGGTACTAGCTTTCCTACGTCACCACTTGAGAGAGATTGGTAACTCTTTATTACATCCTCGCATTCCCTAACTGCAAAAATATAGGTTGGTTTGATTTTATCTAACTAGGGTTATAGTCGTCCCTGGTTAGCCATGTTTAGTCAATGTGCAACGAACAAAACATTTTCCAACCACAAGTTCAGTCACAGGGGCAGCGTGGCCTAATGCTTAAGAGCACAGGCCTTATTCCACCTTCAGCTCTGTGACTCCAACCCTCAGTACCTCCATCTATAAAATGGAGTTAATGAAGAAGAGCACCTACCTCACAGAATTGCTGTGAGGAGTAAATGAGAGAGAGAAGGCAAATAAGCCATCTGCCTAGTAAAGCTCATTGGGAGCCAGTATTACATTTATTATTGTTGTGTTATATCCCTCTTTCCAACACACATGTACACACACACACACACACACACACGCATTGGGTTCAACCTATGTAACTATATATTTTTTTTGGCTGAGCCATCTTAATATCTCACAAAAGTATGGCCACAGCAAATGTTACAGTGCTTCTTATGTATTTTAAAGGCACAGGACATAGATCAAGTCTGTAACTGAGGACAAGTGTGTACTTTTACTTTCTAGAGGAAGAGAAACCTTTAAAGGAAAGATTCCATAGACACAATTGACAATAAACACAAAAAATAAAAGCTGTGGTTTTACCAAGAAGTTATACCAGAAGCTACTTCCTGAGGCACACCAAGAGTAGGTTTAATTCTGAGGTGAAGAGTACCACAGCATTCAAAATAATTCACTTAGGGATAAACAACAGTGGGGAGAGGCTGGCGAGGAGAATCAAGGAACAGCAAGAGGACATGGAGAAAACTTCAGAAAGAGAAATTCTAATGGAATGTTACAGACTCCAGAAGTTATCGCCTATTCCTTTCACCAGCCTTCATCTTGCAGAGAAAGAGGAACATCATAGTAACCACCACTAATTCTGGGAACTTACTCTTTGCCCGGTGCTGGGTCAAGGGCTTTGTAAAGATTAGCTCATGTCATCCTTGCCACAGCCCTCTGAGGTAGGTGCTATTATTACCCCTGACTTAAAGATGAGGAAAGTGAGGCTTAGAGAGGGTGAGTAATTTGCCCAAGTCACATAACTTGCAAGTGGTCAAGTTCAGATGCACACCCAAGTGAAAGGGATGGGGAGCCCTGGCTGTTAACCAGAGCGCTAGACACTAGACAACTGGTGTGATGGCTGCAGGCGCTCTGCAGGAAATAACCTCGAACTCTTCACTCATCTGATAGGTGACATCTAGGCAGGGCAGTGACACCAGGGGATTTCCGTTCCAAATAAATCATTCTGGTAACAAAGTGGAAAAGAGGTGCCTGGGTGTCTTCTCCATTTGCTACCAATTGCACACCTTTTCCCAACCGAGTAACATTTGTTAATGGTTAAATGATTTTTTAAGTTTCTTTGTTTTTGTGGTAAAATACACATAATGTAAAATTTACCATTTAACCATTTTTTTAAGTGTACGGTACTGTAGCATTAAGTACATTGTTGGGCAGCCATCACCACTATCCATTTCCAGTACTTTTTCATCATCCCCAACAGGAACTTTGTCCCCATCTCTTTCTTCCCACCAGCCCTTGGTAGCCTCTATTCCACATTCTGTTCCTATAAATTCGACTACTCTAGGTATCTCATACAAGTGGACCCATACAATATTTGTTCTTTTATGTCTGGCTCTTTTCACTTCACTTAACGTCTTCAAGGTTCATTCATGTTGCAGCATGTATCAGAATTCTGTTCCTTCTGATGGCTGAATAATATTCTATTGACTGTATATAACACATTTTGTTTGATTATCCGTTCATCTGTTGATGGACATTTGGGTTGTTTCCACCTTTTAGCTATCGTGAATAATGCTTCAGTGAGCTTTCGTGCGCTCAACTAAGTCACATCTGAAATTGCAATGGCACCCTGCCTTCCTCCAATGTACCCTGCCCCACTCCAGTTTGAACCTTCTCTGTTTTGTTACTGTAGCTACATCACACTCACAGATGTTCTCTAAAACCATTCCTTGATCTCTCTTTGCAGTGTCCAGTCCAGCCAGAAGAAGAGTCAAAAGCTCTCAACACCTCTTGGCCAAGAATGTAAGGAAACTTCCGTTTTGATCTCTTTGATTGACTTTATTTAAAAAAGCGTTGTCTAACTTTTTCACTCTCTCTCCCTCCTCTGCTCCCAATAAACAGGAAGGTTTCCTATGTCCCATGTTGTAACATTCTCCATCCTCCACTTGACCAAAATAATTAGCAAATGTCAACCAGAGAGCATTCATCCCTGAATTGGACCTCCCTACTCGGCTGTTTTCCTCAGACACAGAAAGTAAATCTCATTCGATATATACTCTTTTTTTCTTACTTAAACAAAGTCCATGATGTGGGTATAGCATCTCTGACCTAGATGTTCTCCTGTTGTTGGCACTTGAAATGTTCCATCTTTCTTCACTATTCTAAAGTCAGTGCAATGAATTTATTTGTACAAGGTACTATACTTTGGGATTAATTCTTTGGTGCCTAGGCCTTCAAAGCAGAATTAACAAGTAAGAGGATAAGAATAGTTTCATCCATCCATCCATCCATCTATCAAATGTTTACATTCCTGTTATGTGTAAGAAACACTGGGCTACCTGTGCAGAATTAAGTGATTTAAAAACATGGTTTCTGCTTACAGTTTTGTCGTATATGACCAGGAATTCTGAACAATTGTCAGGTTTCCTTCCAGCAATGCCTTCCCATTTACTTCCAACCCACCAACATTGGCTTTCACTTTATTTTTGCTACTTTAAAAGCACACGCATTACCTTAAAATTAGTTTATGTGTATTTAGAGTCTAATGATGCTGTGAATTTCTCATTTTAGTTCCAGATTTCTTTATGTAAAAGCTGTTAATACATCTTTGTACTTTAATTTGAAAGGTTTGTTTTAACTATTAATTGTTTCCTCTTGGTCATACTGGAGTTTCTAGTTCTATCACAGTTTTTCGTTGATTTTCTAAGTATCTCAATTTTTAAAACCCTATCCTTCATTAAAAAAAAAAATTTCTTTAAGTGTCCTTCGGATGAAATGGAGTTTTAGTCAATGTTGTTCTTATGTACATTTATTACTTTTTTAATATCCAGAGCAGTATGTGCCCATTATAAAATATGAATCATTACAAAGATATAAAATATAGTATTAATAAATCCTAAGAAGCTAGTAGAACATAGTAGTTAAGTGTGTAGACTTAAGAGTCGAACTTCCTGGGCTTAAATCCCAGCTCTATCCATTTCTAGCTATGTGACTTTGGGCAAGTTGCCCACCCATTCTGGACTCAACTACCTTAGTATTAAAATGGGGATAAAAAGAGCACGTATCTCAAGAACCACTGGAAGGAGTAAATAATCTAATACCTGTAAAGTCCTTAGTCTACAGCCTGACACATTCAATACGCACTGGCATGTTTAAGTGAAAATTTCTCATATACTAACATAATTATTATGCTTTATTGCCTGATAACATATCGTTTTGAAATTTGCTTTATTCACTGAAAAATAAATCTTGAACATCTTTACATGCCAATTAACACATTGGAGCCACCCCATCCCTTATAGAGGCTGCATAGTATGCCATTGTATGACTGGACTATAATTTTTTACCCAAACCAAATCTGAAGTTTCCTAGATTAATTATTTAACCAAATCATCAATAAATGGGGTTTTCCCATTATTTTCTACTAAAACAACGCCACAAGAAGTACTCTTGAACATATTTTTTATGCTCTTATGCAAATGTTTTTGAGGATAAATTCATAGATATGAAAAATCTGAGTCATCAAATCAACACATATACTCCTTAAACTTACACAATGCTATATGTCAATTATATCTCAATCTAAAAAAAAGAAAGGAAATGCTCAAAGGATATGAACATTGAACACATTTTATAGCCATTGCCAAATTCTTAGCAGCTGTGTTTTAAAAGCATCTTTACCAGAATACCTGCGCCAATGTTGTTCATATTTGACAATCTGATAAATGAAAACATCTTATTGTTTTAATTTGTCTTTATTTATTGATATCATTCTTCATCTTTTCATAGATTTTGTTATTTTTTAAAATTTTTATTTTATGGGTTCCTTACTCATGTCTTTTGCCCATTTTTTCCTGTTAGTTGTGTGTCTTTCTAAAAAAGCTTTTGAGAATATTTTATATATTAAGAAAGAAAAGGGCTTTCAATGGATGGAAAATGTCTTTGTTGTAGGGCAAGAAATTCTTATTTTTCTTATAGTCCCTGGAAACTTAAGCCACGGTGTAGAAGGAAAATGCTCCTGACTTTTTTTTTTCTTGTTTTTTTTAAAATTTACAGCAGAGGATAGTTTTATTAGAGCAGAAAGTAACAGCTCTCAAAACAAGAAGGGGTCCCAACTGGGGTGCCCCAATGCTCCTGACTTTTAAGGAGCAGTGGGTGTTACCAAAAATGGAAAGGGAAGCAGTAGTTTGTAGGTAATTTAGAGTTTAAGAAAAGTTTCACAACAGACCTTTCGGTCAAGGACTTGAGTTTGGCATTCCTCAGGATTTGAAGGAGCCACAAATCATGCATGACTCAGGGACAATACCTTAGTAATTAGGAATATTGAGTTCTCAGCCAAGTTCTTGCCTTGAATTTCTAACCTTAAACAATTTTCCTGTCTGAATCACCTCGTATACCAATACCTACTAGTTTTATAAGGACAGAACAGTGGTTACAAAAACTTTTTACTTATTTATTTTTTACTTTTATTTATTTATTCTTTTAATTGGGGAGTTGGGGGAGGGGAACAGTGTTGGGGAATTGGGGAAGGGGACCAGCCAAGTTGTTGTTCTTCAATCTTAGTTGTGGAGGGCGCCAGTTGCCATCTGGCTGCCCGTCAGCAGCTCATGGCCTCTAAGCTCAAGGTGCTGTGTTCAATCTTAGTTGCAGGTGTAGCCACCATCCCATGCGGGAGTTGAACCAGCAGCCTTGTTGTTAAGAGTGCACCCTCTGTCTACTGAGCCATCTGTGGCAGCTCAGCTCAAGGTGCCAAGTTCAGTCTTAGTTGCAGGCAGGCATAGACCACCATCGAACAGGCAGTCTTGTTGTTAGGAGCACATGCTCTCACCAGCTGAGCCATCCTTCCACCTGTTGACAGCTCAGGGGCATCTCAGCTCAGGCGCAGTGTCACTGGCCAATGTGGGAATCGAACCGGCGGCCCCATTGCTTAGAGCTTGCACTCTTAAGCTAACTCCTAACCAACTGAGCCACTTGGCCAGCCCCTAAAAACCTTTTTAAATGGAAACTAGATTACTATACTTTCTAGTCGTTAAATAGGGTTTTAGGGAAGAAAGTTTTCAGGGGACTTAGAACCTGAACAAAGTAGACAACCCTCAGTGGTGGAGCTAAAGCCACATCAACACGAAATACACAAAGCCACCAAACATGGGGCACAGCCTCCTGGCATATTTGACTTCAGCCGGGCACTGTAGAACCATGCTCTCAGATTTCCTGGAAGTGGAAATTTTTGAGAAAGACTGCTATGTTTATGACTTCCCTGTTTAAAATATTTTTACCCAGAGGGAAAGAAAAACAACTCAAGTATATGAATACATATAAAAATTGCTTTTCATAAAAAATATTTTTAAAAATCACAAGCTAGAGTCTTGTCTTCAAATATGCAATCTTCCTTCAGGTGAGAGTTTCATAATGCCCTCTGGCTTTTGAGCTCTCCTCTGAATTTCTGATTTCCCCTCACAGCCTGACTCATTCTTTGCTTAAAAAATTCAGCTCCAGCTACAGATTATTCAAATTAGAAAGAACAGGGAAGGTGTCTTAGTCCACCTAAGATCGAGAAGGGAGTCCCAAAGAAGAATGAATTGGCTCTGATCTCTTGTTTCTTCATCCAACTGGCTCTTGGCTTCCCTTTGAGTTCCCGAGAAAATGATTCACATTTTGCAACTGTTCTCATGTATCAATGTTTATGGCTTTCTTTGTCCTGAAATTCTTATTATATCTGTGCCTATTCTCACTCCCTGGACTACTATGTGGATGTCAGGTTCCTTCCTTTACAAATATTCCTTTCCTCTCTGAACCATCCTTAATGTTACCATTTCCTGTTTCTCTGTGGTCTCCCTCTAAATCCCACTTTTTCTCTGAACCCAGACACTGTTTCTTCTTCAGACACTCTCACTGGCTTATTTTTCCTCCTTGGATTCTCAGGCAATTTCATTGACACCCTGATCCACCTGATGCCACCACCATTATAAGAATAGCTCAACGGCTCTAAGGTCATTATATCAGAATAACCAGAATGCTTCTTAAATGCTTGTTATCTGTATTTTGTGCATGGATCCTACAGGTGGTTTGGCGTGCTTTATTTAGACTCTTTGTGAACTTGTATTTACATTAATAAAGCAAATTATTTTTAATGTAAAAAAAAAAAAAAAGAAAGAGTAGCTCCGATACAGCAAGGGCAGACAAGGATAGCCCCTTCCCGCATAATCACAAAGTGTCAAAACTGGGGGTTGAACCCAGGTTCACCTGAACCCAAACAAGTTATCTGATAGGAGAGGGTGAAAAAGTTGCTGTTTTAATCTGCATTTATTTAATTATGAATGTTGTTCAGCATCTTTTCATGTTTATTGGCCATTTGTATTTGTATTGTCAATTGCCAGATCATATTTTTGCCCCATTTTTCTATTTTGTCCTCTTTATGAATTTGTAAGAGTTCTATATACATAGGGATAATTTCCCATTATAAGTAACACATTTTTTTTTAATTGGGGAATTGGAGGAGGGAAACTGTTGGGGAATTAGGGGAGGAGAACTGTCGGGGAATCGGGGAAGGTGAACAGACAAGTTGCTGTCCTTTTGTTCTTCAGTCTAGTTGTGGAGGACACAGGCTTCACTGGCCCATGTTAGTATTATGATCATTGCGCTCTTCTCAGCTGAGGCAGTTGGTTGCCGGCCATTGGATGGCCGCTCACGGTCCACTGCACCCCATTGCAGCCTACGCCGTCAATGGCCACTCACGGCAACCTAGCTCCAGGTCAAGCTGTTGTTCACAATCTTAGATGTAGAGGGCGCAGCTTACCGGCGCATGTAGGAATCAAACTGGCAGCCCTGCTGTTCAGAGCTTGCACTCTTACCAACTGAGCCACTGGGCCAGCCCCCAGCAACACATGTTTGATTGAGCCATATTCTAATGTTTGGGCCTGTGGATTTTTTTTTTCATTTTGGTGTGAGAAGTATGGACAGGGATTGATTCACCCCAGTGACCTGACATTGATTCCAACAATATTGATTAAAGATCCAATTTTTCTCCATTCCATGAAATAGCACCCTATTATGATATTTTAAAATTCAGTCTTTTTTGCTTCACAGCCTCCAAAATATGATTGTTATATGGGACAAGTGAGGGGGATCTTTCAAAGGCTAGACTGTAGGGCTGAGATGGGTCCATCTCACTCACAGATGCATCGTGTGCTCAGGAGCTGGCACAGAACGTGCCCTCGCAGGATGTCTGCAGAAGGAAGAAACCAGCAAGCAAGCAAAGGGTTAAATGCAAACCCCAGAGAAGTTGCCATGGAGTATTGGAGGTTCCAACGAGCTTTAAAGGAGTGACAAAATTCAGAATGAATGGCCCCAGTGTCCTGGATAGGTATAAAAATATGCAGAATGTGAGCCAAAAACTGCTAAGATTCCCTTTGTCACTCCCAATATTAAGATAAAAGACTTATTTGTCTCAAATGTTTGCATTTATTTCAGTGATTGAAGTATTTTTATTATAATTTCTAAGGCCCATTTTGGTGGGCCCTGACAAAAGGGGTATTTCCCCTTACCATACTCCCCAAACACACCCATTCAGCAGGTGATCCTTGCTGAAAATGACTTAGCATTTAGTGCTGTGTTCTGGTTTACCAGGGTTTCCGCTTACCGCACCACACATAGGGAAGCGCATCTCCCAGCTCCACCGGACACAGGCATTCCACAAGGTGGAGGAAACGTGAGCATTCAGGGGACTTGCCAGCAGCGTCTTTCTTTTTTAAAATCTGGGAATCAGTTGGGCCCCAGACCTCTCCCTCTGTTAGAGCCCCCAAAAAATCTGTCCTCTGCATGAACAAAAGTGTCCACTCAGCTGCAAAAATGGTATGACTCGGATTTCCAGGACTATCCTCGTTTCAAACAGCCAGTCCTATTGTCAGACCATGTCAGGCCGGGGTGCAGATAACCAGCCCCAATTTTTGAGCTGATGGCCCAGGATCCTGATTCCGTGAAGGGACTGCTGGTGAGGAACCCCCAGAACCTTCATCTTCCTGCACCATGGCACCATTGGACATTGTCTCAAGTTCAATAAAACGGTTAACTGTTTCTGGCCAGTTTACTCAAGTCTTCTCACTGCTCCCTGGCATTTACTGGAGTAAGGTGGCTCCAAAACATCGCTGTCAGCACAAGATCCATCTGGAAAGCTGCAGTCCTGGCCTGAATCGTGGATCCCTAGATCCAGGGACAGGAACAAGCTGACTGTCCTTCCTCCTCCCTGCAGGTGGTGATCGAATCGGACCGCTATCCGCCCCGACCCCTGGAGCTGCTGCCACTCCGCGGCGACCGCCGGGACGGCGAGGGCCGCAGGTCGGGCCGGCTCCAAAGCCCGTGGCAGCAGGGACCCCACCCTGCCAAGACCCCTGCCAGACCCGGTATGTGCACCCGTGTTCCCAGTACCTCCTTGGGGGACAATGACACGCTTAGAGCAGCAGCCTCAGTGTCTGCATCCTACAATAGCTTGTGTTTTGTCTGGCTGCATCATGGTCCTCTCTGTCGACCTCAGTCACACCAGGTGAGTGGAACACCTGTGGCGTGGGAACTAGCTTTTCCCAAATACATGCTCTACCAGCTCGGTATGCATCTGCTCTGGGGCCCTACCTACAGCAGCCCCACATAACATCTTTTATCTAGAAAACACTTGCTTCTGGGTGTGTGTGATGAGCAAAGATGTTTTCATCTGCCATCTTGCTCCACAGGAAGAACTGCTGCATTCAGGAGATGAAAATCTTTATGTTTCTGATATAGACAAGTGTAGACGTGACTGGAAGCAGACAAAGCCTACATTATTTATTTTACAGGCAGTGTGTGTGTGTGTGTGTGTGTAATTATACAGGCTCTTCATAAACTGCCATTTTGAAAATCTCACCATTTGAAATTTGAATGACTTAGGCTATTTCAAACAAGCTATAACAAAGAACTTTGGGACCAATTTGTTTCTAAAGCTAGAAACAGTATAATCTTACCTTCCACACTATTTTTAAAAATGGCTTCCACCCTAAGCAGTTAAACAAGTGTCTTCATCTAGCCCACTGAAGCCTGTGCTGGTAGTTTGTGTTTTATTGCTGGTTTGGGTTATTTCTGTTATGCCCACACCCTAAAATTATTCATATTTTAACTTCAAAAATACACAATAGAAAGTCTAGGATGTCCTTCTCAAAGCTTTTGTCAACAATTCTGTGTGTTACAAGAACTGAAACAAGACTCCATTGAGTATGTCCTTTCAACCATCCATCTTTTCTCCTTCGCAGATCTAGACTGCATCTCCAAGGTTTCTTTGATCACTAACCCCCTGATCCTGTTTTTATGATCCTCCAAATAAGAATGCATAAATCAAGCTATATTCTTTAGTTAAGTGATTACATGTACACATATGTACGGAGAGTGAAAGCATTAGGGAAACCACAATCTGCCTTGCAAATTAAGAGGAGATAAATTTTTTTCTGTGTCTATATATAGGTGGGTGGGTGGGTACATGTGTGCAGAAAGAGAAGAGAATATTTATCTTCACTACAAAATCATAAAGTGAATTTAGAGCCATGTTTCTCAAATTTTAATGTGCAAAAGAATCACCTGAGGATCTTGTTTTTATGCAGATACTAATTCAGTAAGACTGAGTAGGGCCCCAGATTTTATATTTCTAATAAGCTTCCAGATGCTGCTGATGATGTTGGTCTGAGGACAACAATCGATTAGTAAGGCTTTAAAGATGATCTAATGGGTGGTTCTCAGCGTGGGGTCCCCAGAGCAGCAGAATCACCTGGGAACATGTTGGAAATGCAAGTTTTGGGTCTCACCCAAGACCTATTAAATCAGAAATTCTGGGGTGGGGCCCAGCAATCTGTGTTTTAACCCCCCCACACACACATTGATTCTAATGCCTACTGAAGGTAGAGAACCTCTGATCTGCTGCACCCATCCCCTACCAACTTACAGAAGAGGAAACTGAAGCCATGGAAACTGTGACCTACCCAAGGTCACACAGCTCATTAGCTACAGAGCTGAGGTTAAATCTCAGACCTCCTGATTTCCTAGCTAATGCCTCTTCCCGATGGAGAATACTGTCTTCCCAACTGTCTTGTTTTATGGGCCACTTTTCTATCTTTCTAAGTAGCTTGCCCTGCTCAAGTCAATCTTTTATTCTGAAAGAGAAGAACAGTAAGTTATGAAATAGAGAGAATCTGCCCAACGTGTGACAGTCAGCTCATGCAGGAAATGTGCTAGTCAGGTTTAGGGAAAAAAAGAAAAAGATTGAGCTGGGCACTGATTCAACCTTCAGCTCTCCGAATCTGATAGATTCCAGAGCGGGTGGGAGAAAGGGAGGGTTTCTGAGCCAAAGTCAGACCCTAGTGCTCTTCACAGGAAGGGCTTGGCACCAGCCCTGAGCATCAAGTCTTCCATCCGCCCTCTGGAAGGATGTGTGTCTCCAGGATCTCAGATCTGGGAACTTGTTTCTTTTCTGAGCTACAGGAGAAGGCTCCTGGATGCTCTAGCCTTCTCACATGAGAGAAAGATTCTCTGAGGAATCTTGAAAATTGCGGGGACTCTGAAGGCAGAGGCCCAGCTGAGAAACTCACCATGAGGCCTTGAGCAGGTGAAACTCAGGTGCCTGGAAAGGGAACATCCCACCTCCTGGGCCTGGGAGAACCTCTCCACCAAGGTGTCCACAGGCACCTCAGAATCAACTTGTTCAAACAGAACTCATCTTCCTCCTTCAAACCTCTCTTCCTTTCTCAGCAGGGACCACTATCCATCTTTCTAGCAAGCTGCTGGGATGTTTTCCTTAACGCCCCCTTTTCTCCCCCACGCCCCACTCCATCCATCACATCACACACTAAACACTGACCATGTCAGCTCCTAGATATGTCTCCTCTCTCCCTCTTGGCACCTGCCTCGGGCTACCTGGACACAATCTCCCTTCATCATGCCTTGTGCGTAGGAGCCAACCCTGCTCCTCAGCCACCAGTCCCCCTCAAACACACCACGAGGCTACCAGAGGGTCCTTCTAGAGCAGAAGTGAGCATCTGCCATCCCTCTACTTTAAACATTGTGTCCTCCCACCTCCGGCCACCCTCCAGACCACGCCCAGGGCCCTCCAGGAACTATCCTCTGCTGACCTCTCCAGGGCCAACTCCTGTGACACTCCTGTCCCTGCCAGTCCATACATAAAGCAACCCTGAGCTGCTGTGGAATTCTGTGACTACTCCCTTATAATCTGTTTCCCTGGGCCTTCGCTGACACTGTTCTCTGTGCGGATTGCACCCTGTGTCCCTCCATCGGGCTAACTCCTCCCAGACTGCTGTAGAAGGCCCCCAGGGTCAAGTTTCCCCAGCCCTGCAAGACCAAAGAGGGCAGTTTATCCTTCTTGAGAGCCCCCTTACCTGGCTTCATCCTAATTGTTATGGACTTCTAAAGCCTCCATTTCCTCATCTAGAAAATGGGGACTATTCCATATTATGATATCTACCTGTTAGGGTTGTGGTGAGGATTAAATCAGACAAGGTTTATGTATTTTACACTCAACACAGTGTTTGACACAGTAAATACTCAAAACATATATGAGCTGCTATTATTACTTATGCCAGAATACTGTATACTATGGTTTGATCCCGGTAATCTTGTAACTGCACTTCATTGGCGTTGCAATAATCTCCTGGGGGCGGGGGTGTTTTATTTCTATGTGCTGTAGTGTGTTAGGATGGGGCTCGTCCTGGAACATCTGCCCCAGGAGAGGACTATATTAAAAGCCAACTTTCCCCCACCTGTAGTTCAACCCCTAGATTCTCAGCAGCCGCAAGCTTCAAGGTAGAAATGACTCAGAAGTAGGTTGGGCTGCGGGCATAAAGGCATAGGAAGAAGGTTCTCACATACCGCTCAGGTAGCCAATGTCTCAGGACTCTGAAAGGCTCCAATCTTTCCACATAGTGACGCTGTGCTTCCCACTGCAGGCGAGGCTTCCCTGCTCGTTTTCATAGAGGGGTGCCCAGGAACAGCAGGCTAAGTACTCGATCCAAGCCGTAAAGACTTAACTCCTGATAAGCTCATGACCTGGAGCCTTAGGCAGGAAGGAAGAGCTGAGGGTGCATTCTCTGAGCACCTCCTGCCCACAGACACAGCTCTAAACGCTTCCACACATGTGATCCTATTAGACCTTAGTTCTGTCCCCTCTCCTCCACCCCCCCAGAAGAGCACCAGTGGTGCTGGCGACCCACGCGGCAGTTGCCCCACTGCCTGACCCTACTGCCTGATTTCGCTGCCTGGTACAAGGCCTTTAGAAATTCCCTGCTTGTGATTGATTGGCTAAGAAGATCATTGATAGAGAACCATGGGAAGGCAGCAAGAACACAGAGTCACACAATGATGTTTCCTCCATTCACCTTTGCAGTGGGCATTGCTGAACCCAAATCATCAAATCTGTGTGGGAGTCGAGCCTATGGAAAGTCTTTGGTAAGTAACGGAAGCCTGGTTAGTTGCATGTGTTGCACTTGGAAGCCCTGATTAGAGACTGTGCCTTGCTCCAGGCCCAGGGACAATAGAAAAGGCGCCTGAGGGCTCTTTGCTTCTGGTCTGTCAGCTTGCATCACACGAGCGACTGCTGCTGCCTTTTTTGCCAGAAATTCAGCTCTTAGGCAAACAGAAGAAGGTGTTACCTAGCGGACATCTCCAACATGGGGGGAAAGACGTGTTTCTATGGCTGGCCCCCTGCCAGGTGGAAACGCCTAATTCCCAGTGGGAAAAGAGATGTAAGGGTCTCAAGCATTGTGAAAACACAAAACACCAGGCATCTCAGGATGGGACGCCCCAGAGGGTATCTGCTCCTACTCAGGTTCTCTGAAAGCCGACCCTGAGATTGGGGGTGTGGGGTATGAGATGTACATTAGGGATCAACACCTGTCACGGGAGAAGGGCTGCAGGCTTGGGCACTGCCACATAGTCCTTCCTGGCAGAAGCTCTGGGGCAAGTGTACCCATCCAGCTTGTCCCAAGTCGGGCCCAAATGGCCAAGCCTTTATGTTTCCTCGTTGTTTTCTCATCACAGCATGGGGGCTGCCCCAGGAGGCCATGACCCTGGGCAAGGTGACCCCCTGCAGCTGAAACATACCTGAGGGAGCTGAGAAGATATCTGTTGCCCTCACTCCCATAGAGAGGCAGCTTGTCTTTCCCTGAAGGGGGATTAGGTGGCATGTATTCAGGTCTAGCTCAGCATCACCCTGAAAAAAAACCAAAACATTTCCTTAACCCCCTCTGGGCATGACTGTGGGTACCCTCTGGGTAGTACAGGAGGGGTGGGGCCTTGGCTGGAGGTGAGGTTAGCTCAGACGCCCTGGGTTCTGGGAGCTTCAGCCCTCAAGACTCGTGGCTCACGCCATGTGAGACCTAGAAGAGCTCTGAGAGGTTGTCTGAGCCAGGCCAGCCCCTCCCTCGTCTTTATGGGACAAAGCAGACCAAGATGGCAGCACTGCACTCCTAGTCTGGGCAGGAAATGTAACCCACGTGTCTCCTCTAGGTCACGCCTGTCCTAGGAAAAGCACACAAAGGGCAGGGATGGGACAAGCTGTCTTGTCAGGAGCCCCCTGTGCCAAGCTGGTACTCCGGGGAAACTGAGGATGGCTGGGCCATTGCCACAGAGGGAAGGTTGTAGCAGCTCCAACAGCTGCCCTCAGTTGAGCCCGTGGAAGACTGAGGCTAATGGGAGGCGGGGCTCGCAGCCTTGGATCGCCGGCCCTCAGGCCCGGCGCTGGGCTCAGACACTGCCCTTGGCAGAAAGGTAGCTGTAGCTTGGAGGCCATAGTGAGTTAGAATGGGGTAGGGTGGGGAGCATTAATAATGCAGAAGACTGACCCAGGCAGCATGACTAACCCTTTCCTCTTGGCCTGAGATGATAGGGCTGGGGTCCTACAGCTTAGCAGAGCCTGGACAGCTAACTCTGATTAGCACTGAAGTGCACCGGAGGGGATGAGACTAAGGACAGTGGGGAAGGGCTGGGTGTGTGTTCTTCCTGGTGGACGATGGGGAGGAAGAGCTCCGGAGAGGCCACAAGGTGGCACAGTAACTCTGTTCACAACATCGGGCCAGCTCAGGAGAGAAGAGAGAGGTGAATCATGGTGTCCTCAACCTGGAATTCCCCAGCAATTCCAGGAATATAGTGACCTTAAGCCTTCAACGGGCCTTGGGGTGGAAGAACAAAGCATAGCGTATGTCCACTGACTGAGCAAACTCTGGACTTAGCCCAGGTTGGGCCATCAGTTGCTTTTCACTTTAGGGCATGTTTCTTAAGCATTCACCACGTCCTTTACTAGAGCTGAGGAGGGCAACCAAAGGTGTCAAGTCCCAGGTCCCGCCACACACCATGCTGCCCTTCCGGGAACTAGGAAATTGGAAAAGGATATGAAACAAGGAGAGAACCGTAAGAAGATAGAATTGGGATGCTAAAACGTGTCACAAAAGTACGCAGTGCTCTGGGGACGTGAGGACAGAGAAATCAACTTGGGCCTCCAGCCTGAGGGCAGGCTTCCTGGAGGAAGTGGCCCCTAGGGGCAGGCAAAGATGAGGCTCAATCCAGAGAGGGAAGGAAAAGCCGAGTGAGGATGCAGAGCTGGCCATGAGCAGTAGGAAAGGCAGGGCCAGCCCTGCTGGGACTGGAACTGCGGGCACCCTGGGGGGGGGGCGGATAACAGAAGGCGGAGCTGCATAGATAAAGGCGGAGAAGCCGGTTCTGAGGAACCTAGAAGAGCAGGCTGTCGAATCTGCCCCGCAGTGGGGAGGCCCTGCAGACCCAGGAGGAGCCTGGGGTATGAGGGGGGTCTGATGGGAAACAAAGGTCCCAGGTGACCGGCTGTGAAGACCACAGCAGAGGAAATGGAGAGGATGCAATCTAGGCAGTATTTCAAAGCAAAAATCTGCAGGGTTTAACAACAAAGGGGACACAGGTAGTGGGAGTCTGAGGGGGACAGAGTTCTCAGGTAAGACAGAGTTGCTCTATCTCAAGTTTATTGAGGTTGATGGTTCATGGTTCTCAAAGTGGGGTCCCAGGACTAGCAGCACCTAGGAACTTGATAGAAATGAAAATTCGCAGGCCCACATCAGACCTACTGCATGGATACAAGGGCAGGCCTAGCACGGTGTTAACAAGCCCTCCAGGGGAGTCTGATGCCCTAGGTGGGTGGTGGTTCAATTTAGCCATCTGCCTTTTAAATGGCTCTAGTCACTGCCAGAGTTGGGACCATGGCTACAGCCTCACATTCTCTTCCCCTTTCATACAACCCAGATTCCTCCTGTGGCCCGGATCTCCGTGAAAGCCCCCGCCACTGTCCTGGAGGCAGCAGTCACAGGCTCAGAGAACAGAACTGTTCTGACAAGAGGGTAAGTGCTGGTGCCTCCCAGCCCGGCTGCCTGCAGGGCTCCCCACCTGCTCGGGTCCTGCGCAGAAGAGTAACAGGTGGCCTCAGACTCTCAAGACGCTAACACAAAATCCATGCCAGCTGCAAATTACCTCTTAATGAGGGCAATAACCCTGAGTCTGTAGTGCTTCATCAACTGTTTCCCCAGGATTAAGCCAAAATGTTTTTGATGGTTTCCACTTCATTAACACCACTCTCTAGTCTTAAATAAGTGTCCTTTGGAGGATTCTTGGTTAATTAGATAAATGTAATCACAGGCCATATTCAGAGCCCCCTGTAGGCACAACGGGGTCAGAAATGTCTTCTGAATTAGGTTCAGGGCCTCTGCCCAAAGGTAAAGAAGTACGTAAGATACAAAGGTTTCAAACCAAATTCATCAGCCCCATGTCACTGTTACCTCTGGTGCAGAGCTGGCAGCTAGAGTAGCAGGGGTGGGCAATCCCCAAGCATTTTATGGAGCACTAAGAAGATAGAGGCAGGGGCCTTAACTCAATTCACCATGTCCGGGTATGCCCTTACCACTGTCTTCCATCGTGCAGGTGGCAGACAAGTGGTTCTGCTTGCTTCCCTGGCACTGCCACTGCCTTGCTTTGACTTCAGGCAAGTTAGTCAGACCTCTATGTCCTCATTTATTTTTTTAAAAAAAGGGGGGGATAATGGTACCCCTGTTGAGAGGTACTGTGAGAACTGAATGAGGTAATGTGTGAAGAGCTTACCACAAATCGTTGCTATCATTTTTCAAGAAACTTACAATCCACTACTAGTTGGAAAGACACATACTTGGGAATGCATTGATGTGCACGTATGAGGGCCCACGGGCTAAAATATGGACCCAAGTGGTGCACATGTTGAAAGCTTTGGGAGTCCAAGGAGGAAGAGGCCAATGTGAAGCCCTTCTAGATGAAACAAAGCCAGCTATTGGGCTGTCGGAAAAGTCATGATGCATTTTTGCAACAAAAAACATAGAAAATATACGCCATGACTTTTCCGACAACCCAATAGAAAGAATTACAAAAAACCACATCACTCAACATGCTGGACCTAATTGGAGAAAAGTAAGAACATCGTTTGGATTTTATTAAATTCTTGTAGCTGTTGCTGACTGCTGGAAAACCGACTATGGCTCAACAGAGACCAATAGTTCCCATCCTCACAGCTGCATTGCAAAGGACTCTGAATGGCTCCTTTCTCTCTAAGCTCAGTCATTCTCATTTTAATTTGTTCCTGGACCTTGGCTATTAAAAACTAAGGCCACTTCTTTCACCTAAGGGCAGAAAGTGAGGAGAAAAAGGAGCATTTATTGAGGCCTACAGTGTGCCAGATGCTTGATGATCTCATTTTCCTCCTCACAGAAGCCCCAGGAGTTAAATGAAATGACCCCCATATTGCACAAGAGGAAACTGAGGCTGATTGAGGTTAAGTCACTTGCCTGAGGTTATACAGAAAGGGTTCAGGCTCTTTCACTCGCCAATGCTTTGGAACATTTGCCCTTTCCAGTGAGGTTGTTCATGTAGAGGTGGGAGGGGTGGAAAAGTGGGACTTGGACAAGAGCAGAACTGGAGGTCCATGAACCAGTGTGCCCAGCGCCACCTCCTTCCCTCACCCCATATGAGCATCCCCCAGGGGGAGCCATTCCTGCATGGGTCCCAGCAGGGTCCCTCCCTCCTGTTCACAGGATGAATGAGCACAGGAGAGGTAAGAACTCTAGCTACTCTTCTCCTGGGCAAAAATTAAAAGTCTGGCTCAGTAGAGTGACTGCCTCCCCACCCACCCCTGGCTTTTCTTTAGATCCAGACATCTCAAGAAGATGACTGAAGAGTATCCAACCGTTCCCCAGGGAGCGGAAGCCTCCCTACCACTGACAGGAAGTGCTTCCTGCAGTGTCCCCAGCATCCTCCGGAAAATATGGATGAGACACAAGAAGAAGTCTGAATATGTGGGAGCTACCAACAGCGCCTTTGAGGCCGACTAAGGGTGCGCCTCCCCGGGTGCCCTGCATTGGCCAAAGTTCACTGCACAGAGGGAGAAAACTGGATTGGAATGAAACCACATCCACCTCTGCTTGTAGCTGGTCTGAACACATCATCGCCCTTACTAACCCATCACTCTGGCTTAGGATGCAGAAAAGGAACTTCCCTTGAAGGCAAAAGAAAACAGTTCCTTCTTAGAGCCGCTAAAGCCACTGGTCTGAAAGTGACTTTGGGAGGTCATAAGTTTATATCCGTATCTTTAAGGAAAGCCACACCAAAATCAATTTTTTCCATCCCATTTTAAAGACCTCCAAAGAAAGGAAGCAGGTGGTTCTTCCATCTTCATTGTGAGTTATTCTAATGTATGTGATTTCTAGTATAAATGGAAGAGTTTGATGTTTGAGGCACTTGTAAACACAATGGTTCTTACTATCCCTGTTATCACATTTATTTCATCTTGACAAGGTACAATTTTTAATGACCGAGCACTACATATTTACTTAGTAGTTCAAGTATCCGATTGAGAGTATGGTCAAGATGGGTTTTGATGACCATTTGACACAATTGCATGAATTCTCTAGTCTTTTACATGCAGTTTTTCTATAGAAAAACATGATTAAAAATTAAATGTTAAATGCTAATGTTTTCTGAAATGGTATAGTCTAGTGGTATTAATATCTTGCTTTGGTATAATGATTGTAACTTTTGAAAGTTAAAATCCATTATCTCTTATCTTCTCAAAATCCCTGTTACAGAAAGCACAATTGTTCCTGATCTACAGATGCGAGAGCCAGGCCTTAAGGAGTGGTATAACTAGATACTAGACAGTGGAACTAGATACTAGGTCTTCAGCTTCTCCACCAGACTCCTTGCTTTGCTTATTCTAGCAGCTGATTTGAAGAAGGTTTTGAGGGGTAAGCATATGTCTTTGGGGGTAATCTTTGAAGGGAAAAATTTGATAAAGTTGGAATAAGTAAGTGATTTGAATGAAATACATCATTATGCATTAGGTAGAACCAAAAAAATTGCCATGTTTATAGATCAAAAACAATTTGTTATCAATTTCATATAGTTCAACCTAATATATAATATGATGTTTTCCTTCCTTCAATGGAAATGTCATCATCAATTCCACTGTCAACATCAATAGCCTTAAAAAGATAATACGATAATGATAGCTATCATTTATTAAATGCCTACTATATGCCAAACATGATACTGAGCATTTTACCTACATTATCCCAATATTTCTAACAACTCTCAGTTAGCTGGCCTTGCCCATTTAACAGACACCAGTTTACAGCAGTTAAATAATTAGTCTGAAGGCACCTAATCATATGGGTATCAGGCTTCAATTCCTGTGTTATATCTACTCCTTCACAGAGAATAGTTCAGAACATAGGGATGGACCAAAGTTAGTAAATTATTTTGATCTCAAATGCTAACCATAGTTTATTGGCAGAGGCTGCTGGGAGTTCTGTGTGGAGATGGAATCTGAGATGAAGGAGAGCCGTGATCAATTAGTAATGCCTGCCTATGGAGGGGCTCAGTGGCATTATGCCTTGTGTATTGTCACCTGTGACCTCAACTCTGCCACCATAAGGCTTGTTTTCTCATTCGGAAGTTTAAATGAATCCAACTCACTTGATAGAGCCTGACACTCCATGGTGAAATTTAACGGTATGACTAGTTTGGAAATTGCCATGTCTTGGTACAAAGAAGAATTTGGCCACATTACTATCTCAGACTCAACTGCTTGCTCTTCATATGTTGCTGCTCTGTGGCCGTGTGCTGCTTTTTGCTAAGTTACTATTTGCATATTTCCAGGTGAACCATGAGAAGGCATGAGGGGATAAGAGGCCTCGGCTTCTAGGCTTTTACCTTGCTGATCTCTGCTCTTCAACCGTTTTAGATTCTGCAAACTCAGTCCTTGCATCAGAACACGCTTTGGAGATTTGGGTATCAAGTGGTCTTTCAATGAGGGCCTAGTCTCAAGGGACTGTCTAATAGTCTTACCCGGTATAGATAATGGGACCCAGAGCAAAGTTAGGGAGCAAACAGGTGATTTATGCTGGCCCAATCAAGCAGAGTATCCTAAGACTATTTATTTTAAATTATTTAATTTATAACTAATGCCCTCTATTTGTATGTGGCAGCTGGAGATTTCTGTAGGATGCAGCTAACTTATTTATTTTTAATTTAAATATTTCATGATGAAGTGTTTGCCTTGTATAGAACATTTTCATTGGCCAAGTCAAATAAAAATAAAGTATGCTTTGTCTGTGACATCAATAAACCACTACAAGAGTATGCCTGAGGCTTCCTCATTGAATGAAAGAGAAGACTTTCACAAAGGGAAAAAATTATGCATCTAGACCTCATTACCCCTTTACCTAAATGAAAAGGATTGTGAGGAAGAACCCAGCATATTCTTTTCATCCTAAGGCAATATCTGGTTTTGATATCACAGGCCCTGCCCAGCAGTCAACACCAGGGACATTTCTGATGGGTCCTGTCCTGGCCTGACCTGTCCGCTCTGGGTTCACCCCTTTCCCTGTTGATGCTGACTCCTTAGTCCCCACCACAAACTCCAGGGGACCCAGTGGCCATCCCCAGCCTGCTGGCCTCTCACCCCCGAGGTGGAGGAAGAGGCAGCCTTTCTCTTCTGTGCCTCCCTCATGGTCAGCCTCACTAGAGACTGCCCCCTGTGACTCATGTCACAGCCACTTGCAGAAGCATGCCAGGACTAGCTACCCAGGACCATCCGGGAATGCCAGAGCCTTGAGTCTTCTAATGCCAGAGACAACCGGGTTTCCAGGACATTTAGGGTAATAAAATTGCCTCTGTTAGGACCAAGTCCCGTCAAATATTTCCGTTCTTACTTGAGTGCTCTCTATGGCAGTTCCCCCGCCTCCCTGCACCCAGTACTTGGGTTGCCTTTCGAGCAGGCAGATGGGCAGTGGGTAGGAAAAGCAGCAGCAGCCAAAGCCCAATTTTAAAAGGAATCATGTGACACATTGACTCTAAATTGGCAGAGACCAAGGGATAAGCAAGGAAAAAACAGACAGAAAGACGACTCTCCGGAAGATTAGAATTGCATTTAGTTTGTAATTTCTTATAAGATCGATCGGCCTCTAATGAGAGGTTTTTGGTGAATGCATTGCCATGAGGCTTGGAGAGAGAGATCTCATTCTGCAGAGACCTCATATGCCTAGAAAAAATATATATATTTTGTATTTTTTGATCTGGGACAAGACTCACACCTGTTAATATTCTTTGTTGAGAGGGAGCATGTAGGTTGAGAAGGGTGTGTGCTGCTCAGAGAGTAGAAGCGAAAGGAACCTGACATGTGACATGTCCATTGACAGGGCAGTTGGGCCTGTGCCATCCTGGTTCCTAGCCCCTGCTGGAGGCTGTGGAGGAATCTTCCCACAGAAGCCCTCAGAAGCACTGAGCCCTGGGCTGGCCCCTTGGAGCACAGGTTACCACGAGACTAAACCCCTTTCCCCACGGGGCAGGCAGCCAACCCTTTGCTTGTTGGCCTAAGAGAAGCCTATGCTTTTCCAAGGACAGGTATCTGATCCTGCCCAGTCGCACGAGGGAGAGGTACCGAGAATTTGGGGCAAGTGCTGACCAAGGTTTCAGGCTCCATCCACAGGAGAATAAATTGAATTTGCTACACTTTGACCACCTGGGCCTCAGGTACTCTGCAGGGAGAGGCCCCGCTTCCATATTAACCAGGTTTTGCTCACTTCAGACTCCATGGAGCTCAGGATGCTATGCAGCTTGGCAATTGCGGGGGAGGGGAGGGGGGG